CGATCGTTTCGATCACCGTCCTACTACGACGAACTTTCCGACAATCATTCCGGCAACTTTCCGACGAACTTTCCGGTGACTGTCCGGCGAACTTTTCCCGTGACTTCTCGACGACTATTCCGACGAACTTTTCCGATAACTTTTTCGATTCTGACAATTATTTATATTATTAATTAAATTTTTATTTATTTTATTAATTAAATATAATGGTGTTACAATTATACAAGTAATGGACACATATACATAATTAATTGGTTACGGATTATTTTTGAGGTCACAAATCAAAAAAACTATAGGTCACGATTTTTTTATTGGTCACAAATCGAAAATTTTGTAGGTTACGGATTATTTCGAGGTCACGAATTAGGTCACATGTTATTTTATTGGTCACAAATCAAAAAATTACAGGTCACAGTTATCTATCAGTCACATATTTTTAAATTTATTGGTCACAGATTAATTTTTAGTCACAATTTTAAGGTCACAGTTAGATTTTTTTGTGACCACCCCATCGCAGATTAATTTTTAGTCACAATTTTAAGGTCACTACCACTAAATTCTGTGACCACCCTCGTGACCACCACAGACTTATGTGACCACTCCCGTGACCACCACTGATTTCTGTGACCACCCCCGTGACCACCCATCAACTTCTGTGACCACTCCCTGACGGAGCTATGACCACCACTCATCACTGTCACCAGCCACGTCGTCGCTACCAACACCACTGAAATACACCAACACCACCACACCACACCGCATCACAACAAAACCACCCCGACCATCAGTTCCACAATCACCACTACAAAATCGCCACCACACAAACACCAACACCGCCACCATACAAACAACCATCAAAACCCTCCCTAACCGGCAGATCTACCACAGAAACACCAAAACCCTCCCCAACCGGCAGATCCACCACAAAAACACCACAAAACCCTCACTAATTCTGCTTCGAGCACGCTGGTGCGGTGCTTCGCCGAAGTGGGTATCGCAAGGCTGCGAAGGGCGGCAGGGTCGTTGAGGCTGGGGACGCTGAACAGCAGCATCACCGTCGACTGCTGTTCGAAGAGCAGCGTCGTCGCGAAGTGGAAGAGGGTGGGGACATTGTCGTTCGAACAGCAGCGTCGCCATTGACTGTTGTTCGAACAGCAGCGTCGTCACGACGTTGCTGTGTAAATGGCAGCGGCAGGAGTGTTGAAGGTAGAGAAAGGCAAGGGAGAGATTGGTAGGGGAAGGAGGGAGAAGGGAAGAGGCCGAAGTTCGTGGCTAGTGGCGAGGTTGAGAGAGAGAGAATGGACGAAGAGGCCCAGCATTCCCCAAATAGTGGCTGCCCCGTTTTAATATTAAACCCCTTGAAAATTTGCAGCCAAGTCCTTTGGTTTTGGAAACAAATTGAAAATGGTCTGCATATTTTTTAAAGTGGCGCCTCTCTCTACAAAAATATCAATTGGTCTTTCTTCTTTTTGAACACAAGTTCACTAAAAATTTTCATCCAAGGTCCTTAAACTTTATGTACTTATGCATTTTGGTCCATATTTCACAATTTTGTACGCTTTTGATTCCTTTTAACTTCATTTTGCCTTGTTCTATTTCCTTTTGAGGTTTTGACCTACAAAAGCCATAATTAAACAATTATGAATAGAAATTCGTTCAATTTAATCAATAATTAACTTGTTAAAATACCTAACAAGTGTGCAAAAACACACCACCTATGACTCAAATGGTTATGGAACAATACACTGAACTCATTGGACGCCCTGCTACAGTATCTTACTGGTCTTACGTGATCTTGAGAATGTGGCTGCTGGTTATAAGAAAGCTCAAATCCTCTAGAAGTGTGTACGGATATTGATTATATGGAATGGCTATAAGGATTTCACTCTTGATCCTGTGAATTTTCCTCCGTATAAGATGAAAGATTTCATAGATTCACTTTATCAGAACGGCCAGAAATATGTGATCATCGTATATCCTGGGACCAGTGTAAATGAGACAGAAGTTACTAATGCAGCTTTAACTAATGTCATTGGCAAAAGGCCATTTGTGCTGAGTAGATCTATTTTCGTGGGTTCTGGCACGTACACAGCACACTGGAATGGAGACAAGGCTGCCACATGGGAAAATTTGGCATACACAATACACATCTTCAACTTTGGAATATTTGGAATTCCAATGGTTGGAGCTGATATATTTAGTTTTCAAGAGACAACTTTTATCCCTCTGCTAGAGACCACTCTGAGAAATTCACCATCCGTCAGTCAAGAGCCATATATCTGGGATTCAGTCCCTAAATCATATAGGAAGGTGCTTGGACTTCGTTAGCATACTTGTACACACTAATGTTTGTAATCATGTTTGTAATCATGCCACGTGTACACTCTCTTACACATTCCTTTACACTTTTTCACATGGAAATATCTACTCTTAATTTTCAACTCATCCATCACATCAAAGGAACAATTTTTCTCTACATAAGGGAGGATGTCATCTTTGTTGTCAACGAGGATGTACATCCAATTTAATTCTAATGTTGAGGCACACACTAAAGAAATCCCGATTTACCTTCCAATTTTCTTCTCTTCTCCCCAGGATGCCAACACTTGCAAAATCAGCTCACAGGGGATAAAGATTTCACCTGTAGTACAGGTGAAATCAAATACAACTTTGTTCTCGTAGAAAAAAGCAAAAAATACAAGTTTGTTCTTGTACACTATTCCCGAAAATCATCAAACAACTCCATTGGAATTGATACGTTTGACTAAAGTCACAAGTTTCTTACATTCTATTCAAGACACCATCACAAACGCGAACTTTCCACATTATGACCTTCAAATTTGACATTTTCAGTGAAGTTGTGATCAAGACTGGCAGCTCCAACTTCTAACCCAATCAGTCAAAGTGGCCACATTACTGTTTATGTCATCAACACAGTCGCTTCTTAATGCCACCACAATTTCTTCAGGATAACTCTCCTTGGCCTCCTCCAGCAACACTTGAAAGATTTCACATTCGATATTGTTTGTAAGTTTCTGCCCAGTATAACCCCTGCCACATAGATAAAAAGGTTAAAGAGATTTGTTGACAACAAAGACCCAATTGCAACGATTGAGAAGTATATAACCTCTTTGTCAATCTGTCATACAACACGGAGTTTTCAGTTTGGAGCACTACTACACGGTTGAACCAACGCTGAGGAAAGAAGTCGCCACCATGGTAATCCACGATGTTTCCACCTTCTTCCATCAAATCCTCAAGCTCATCACACACCTGTTGATGCCATATTTGGGCAACATCAAAAGTCAGGACTTGAGATCAGATATCATTTCCTCTGGCTCAAAATATCTCACATTCTTTTATATCTTAACATGCAAGAAATTACCATGGTAAACAGAGCTTCCAACAAAGATTTGATCTTGTTTTGACATCAATTATAATTAAACAATTAGCCAAATTCAGGTGCACATTTCAATCAACCAGTTGAGACACCAATCACCTAGAAATCATAGAATCTAATTGCAAACGACGTGGACCACAACAACAAACTAAACCTGATTCTCTATAAATTCGAGACCAGGCTGCCAACCAAGTAAATCCCTTTTTGACACTCCATTATGTAAATGGCTTTGTTTGCTAGACAATCCCAAGTAACTACATGGACAACACAAGTAACTTCACTGCTCGAAAGAGATGCAGAGGAACCAACTAAACATATCAGATCCATTTCGGATGCAAGAAAGCATGCTCGTCAAGCCGCTTTGTGCTTGTCCATTATAATTCTATATTTCCATTGGCCTCACTTTCACCTATATGTTTATCAGGGTCTAAAAAATGGGAAGTTAAAATATTAGATAACAGCTTTGATACAACAACCAAAATCCATGCTGTCAATGCCCTCCTCATTAATGTATACTGTAAGATTCTAGGAATTCATATAGCCCAAGCCGAACCAGAGCAATGAACCTATTTGACGAGGCAATATCACAAAAATGTGATTGCATTAGACCATTTTGCAACACACATTGGAAACACTTCTACCTATTTCGTCAATAACTACATTGTCAAATAATAAAATTACCAATTCAATTAAAAACTTACGAGGTCTTCATTGATCACATAACAATCGAACTGGTCATCCCAGCCGTCGTGGAGGTTCTTTTCCTTGACCAAATCTCCGATATTTATATGGCGGAATTGAGTAGCCTCCGCTAGAGCTGACGCCGTCGTGGTCTTACCAGTTCCGGGCGTTCCTGTTATCAGTATATTTGGCTTCTCCCTCTTCTTCTTTCCGCCGCCGTTCTGCGCCTTCCGCCCCGCCGTTTTGCGTACCCTTTGGTTCAATTTTGAAGTCGGGGTTTTTGCTATTCGGCTTAGAGTCGACTTCCAAATATCTAGAAAATGAAATTACATTTTTTAGTCCATCTTTAATTTTGTGCAATTAAGTCTTCCATCTTTAATTTTGTTGCACAAAATTTTGAATGTATGTGTTTTAAGTACAAATTCATATATTTTTCATAGTCGATAAATAATGTTTTAATAATTTTTTTTTTATAGATTTTAGTTTGTTATTTAGTTTAGTTTTTTTATTTTTTAACTCGAGCCAAGAATTTTGATTTGGATAGAAAAATAATTTTCTTGAACTTTTTAATTAGTTTGCTTGATGAATAATATAAAAATAAATAAAATTATTCCCTATCCGAAATAGAGATTTTAAATTACAAATAAATATTTTTCCGATTTACTATGCTGATGTTTTGTATAGATTAAAATCAAATTTTAATAGATTTTGATAGAAATTAATAAAATTGTGGGTGAAAAGTTGTAAATCCATGTGGTTAAAATGAATTGGTAAATTTGACCCCACATATATCTCTTTTTTTTTTAAAAAAAAAAAGCTTTCTAAATTTGTACATAAAAATCAATGTTGTTAAAACCGACCCAGTCCAACTGGTTCGACCGGATAAATCAAGAACCGGGCCCAAAACTGGGTCGGTTAGGTTTTGAGAACCTTAAAATTTAAAAATCGTCTTTAAAACCGGTGACCCACCCAGGTTCCGGGAAATTGTTGACTCGAACTCGGTTTATACAGTTTGTTCGATTCAAAACTAATGAATTTTAAACCATTTGAAACCTTTTTAAAAAAAAAATATTTTTAGACTTTCAAATTTCTTCTCATTCTTCTATGCCGATTGCCGTGAATGCCATCTTCTTTTTGAAGACTCTTGACTATTGAGTTTTCATTTTCAATCCTTCCATCAAGATCACTATATAACAATAATGATTTTTGTTTTGGATGGGAAATTATTAGTTACCGAAACTTTATTCTCGCTGTAATTTACTAATTTCTCGTGATTTGGTTGTCTGCAATTTTGTGTAGTTGCTATAATTTAAAGATTTTAATATGCTTTTGCGGTTCAGCTGTGTGTGTGATTTTATGATGCTTTATATTTTGTTTCTTCGAATTTCTATTGTTTGAGGGTGAAAAATTATATTTTGCAGTTCAGACTTCAGATGTGTGCAAATCAATATTATGACGATGAAAAAATAAATTTCTTATACATGCAAATGCATGTTGTTTAGGAATCCAAATGGGCTCCTTTCTGCTTTCCTTTTACTTTGGTGACAAAGGACTTGAAAACATTAAAATATTTGATAATTCTTATGTTTAAAGGTAAAAAAAAATTAATTCTTTATACATATGTATCTTCAGATGTATAGATTTGAACGTTTAATGGCAAAAAAATATTTTTTTATACAAGGGAACACTTTTCTTCAAGTCATGACATTGACGGTAAAATTCGTTTCACATGTCTTTATTGCAACAATAGCTTTAAAGGTGAGGGAATTAATTGAATGGAGTATCATCTTTGTGGAATTAAAGGTCAAATATCTCAATGTAAGAAAATTCCTTTTGATGTTTGGGTTAAATTTCAAGGAATTTTCCAGGATACATTTCAAAAGAAACAAGAGGCTAAAGAGGCTCATAACCAAAGGCAACAAAAAAGGAAGAGAAAAGCAAGTGAAGGGATTGAAACATATTTTGCTCGTAGGACTACTCTTGGATCTCAGCCTAGTTTGAAGAGTGTTTTATCGGGTAAACAAGTCGTAAAGAGAGCCCATATGTCTTGGGCTAGGTGGTCTATGATGCTTACATTCCATTTAATGCTTTGCAATCACTTTACTTTCAACACGCTTTAGATGCTATTGCTGCGATTGGCCCAGGATTTAAAGGTCCATCTTATAATGACGTTCATGTTAATTTGTTGAGGGATTGCAAAAAAGAATGTCAATTACTAGTTGATAGTTATTGAAGCCAGTGTATAAATAATGAATGTACAATTATAGCCGATGGTTGGAGTGATAAAAAACATAGAACCTTTGTGAAATCTTCTATGCGTCAGATGCAGTGAAAGTTTCTCAAACATTGGGTAACTTGTTTATGAGGTAGTTGAATGGGTTGGACCTCGTAATATTGTTCATATTGTAAATGATAATGCGGCTAACTATGTGGTGGCAAGAAAACTATTACATGAAAAGTATGATCACATTTTTTGGTCTCCTTGTGCTGCACATTACTTGAATCTTATTTTGAAAGATATTAGTAGTATGCCTCACGTGCATTCCCTTGCATTACGTGTTTTAAAGATTACAATATTTGTGTATAACCACACTTTTTTTTTTTTGTCTTGGTTGAGAAAAATACCTGAATGGAAGGAAATTGTACGTCCAGCTGTGACTCATTTTATTACTACTTTTATTACATTGAGAAGTATTTATGATAAAAAACAAGTATTTCAAAGTTTGGCAACAAGCACGCATTTTACAAGCCATAGGCTTTCAAAAAGCGCAACTGGGAGACTTGTAAGTTCTATCATCTTGGACAACAAATTTTGGGAGGATTGTTTGATGGTTATGAAAATTGTGGCTCCTATCGTAAGGTTGTTGCGAATAGTAGATTCAGATGAAAAACCTTCATTGGGTTATGTATATGATGGAATACACAAGACACAAAAAGGAATCAAAAATGTATTTTTAAATAAGAAAAGATTGTACAAGCCTTACACTGATAGCATCAAGGAACGATAGAATAAACATTTTCGCCTCATACATGCAGTAGCTTATTTTCTTAATCCTGCTTTCATTTATGAAGAAAGATTTTGTCAAAAAGTAGAGGTCATGCAAAGCGTCTTCAATTTATTTGAGATCAAAAGCATTTGTGATGAAGAAAGATTTTGTCAAAAAGTAGTAGTCATGCAAGGCATCTTCATTTTACTTGAGATCATAAGCATTTGTGATGATGAGACAAAAGCAATGGGAAAGATAAGGATGTATCGAGATCGTGAATGAAGTTTTGGAAGACAATCTGCATGTAATACTAGAAAGTCGTTACAACTTGGTGAGCATTTAAATTTAATTATTGTTGTATATGTTTATTTAATATAATTCTTAAAACTAACTTTTAGATAACATGTACATGAATGGTGGAAATTGTGTGGATATAGTGCTCCAACTTTGCAAAAGATAGCTGTTCGAATTATTGGTCAAATAGATTCTTCTTCGGGATACGAAAGGAATTGGAGTGTCTTCGAATGCATTCATACAAAAAAAAAAACGAAAAAGAAATAGATTGGAACATCAAAGACTCAATGATCTTGTCTATGTTACTTATAATTTGCAATTGAAGAATAGGTATATAATCTCAAACTCTTTACTCTTTAGTCACGAGTTTATTTTAGTGTTTCATGTATTTTTTAATATGTTCCTTTATCTAACTACTTCTCATGAATAACCTGATAGACTTTATTATAAGAAGAGATCTTATGATCCAGTTGATTATGAGTGTATTGACAAGACA